CTTACAAGAACCTAAAACTTACAATCAAGCTGCTAAAGATCCATTATGGAAGGAAGCTATGTTAAAGGAGTTAAATGCTCTTGAACAAACAAATACTTGGACTTTAACTGACCTTCCTAAGGATAAACATTTTATTGGTTGTAAGTGGGTTTTCAAAATCAAATACAAATCAGATGGTTCTCTTGAAAGGTATAAAGCTATATAGTAGCAAAAGGTTATACACAAGAAGAAGGGATCGACTATTTTGACACATTTTCTCCAGTTGCTAAGATCACTACTGTTAGACTTGTCATTGCATTAGCATCTATTAAAAACTGGTTCATTCATCAATTGGATGTTAATAACGCATTTTTGCATGGGGATCTACCTGAAGAGGTGTATATGAAACCTCCACCTGGATATTGCCTTCCTTCTGATAAAAGAGTCTATAAATTAAACAAAAGGTTATATGGTTTAAAACAGGCTTCAAGGCAATGGTTTCATAAATTGACAACTTGTCTTTTAGACTATGGCTTTACTCAATCTTCTGCTGATAATTCCATGTTTCACATGTCAAAAGGCAGCAGCTTTACTATCTTACTTGTTTATGTAAATGATGTTATTCTAACAGGTAATGACTTATCTTGCATTACTGCCATTAAAAATCATCTTCATGACTGCTTTACTATAAAAGATTTAGGCCAATTGAAACATATTTTGGGTCTTGAATTTGCTCATTCTCAACATGGAATTCATATGTGTCAAAGGAAGTATGCACTAGACATACTCACTGGCACTGGAATGTTGGGTTGCAAACCTGCCCATACTCCAATGGATGCTACAATAAAGTTGATTAAAAATAATAATGCTACTGACCTTCTACCTGATCCCTCTGAATACATGAGGTTAGTAGGTAGACTTTTGTATCTTACCATAAGCAGGCCTGACATAGCTTTCTCTGTTCAAGCACTCAGCCAACACATGTCCAGCCCTACTCAGCAGCATCTAACCTCTGCCCACAGAGTCCTCAGGTACATTAAGGGTACCCTTGGTAAAGGTATCCTTTTTCACAGAAATTCTTCTTTACATATTAATGCCTTTTCAGACAGTGATTGGGCTTCTTGTTTGGATACAAGAAGAAGTATCACTGGTTATTTGGTTTTTATTGGTGATTCTCTCATTTCTTGGAAGTCTAAGAAACAGCATACAATTAGTAGATCTTCAGCTGAAGCTGAATATAGGGCTTTAGCTGCTACTGGTTGTGAAATTCAATGGATACGTCATATTTGTCAAGAATTGGGTATTACTTTTGCTTCACCTGCTTCTGTTTTTACAGATAGTAAATCAGCTCAAGCAATGGCATCAAACCATATTCTACATGAAAGGACCAAACATATTGAATTGGACTGCCATTTGATAAGAGAACAGATTGCCAAAGATGTACTGCAGCTCAAGCACATTCCTTCCAAAGACCAGCCTGCTGACTTTCTTACAAAACCACTACCAGGACCTCTATTTCACCATCTCCTCTCCAAGTTGAGCATGCCTAACATCCATGCTCCCCTTGCGGGGGGGTGGTAATAGAATATAAATATCACACTTGTATAAAGCCGTGTTTTACCTCATTGACCGCGCGTCGCAACGCGGCAAAATTAATATTTATATTTTCCTCGACTAACCTCTACTAGCTAGTAGTAGTGGCGAGCAAGGGTCGATCCCACGAGGAGTGTGAAATCAAATCGTGAATTTTCTCGTATTAATTGAAATTATAAAAAGCGATAAATTGGGGGGGGGGGGGGCTAATGAAATAAATAAAATCTAAACAAGAAAATAAAAATAAAAATAAATAAAATAAGAGAAAGCTTCTAGTTCACGGTTCCGTCTACACCCTCGACTGACTCGTCTAATCAATTCTGGTACCAAATCTCGCTATCTTATGAAATTACTAGCCCTAGGCAACGACACGGTCAATTACATGAATTTTTCCTTATTTTTAATTTAACCGCGAGACGCTCGACGATTAAACCTGACTTCTTGTACAGTCTAGAAAAACGTTTTCAAGATTTAATACAATTAACCGCTTTACGATTTAGAAAAATAGGCTAGACTAATTAGTGAACTCAACCGCGTTCGTTCACTTAATTAGGCCGTGTTATCCCCGGTAGTTACCATCTTCCGGTTACCTCTTATGAATTAAACACAACAACAATTACGGATTGCAGGCCTAATTTAGATGTAGATATGAAAAGCCTAATCTAGGTGATCAATCTAAACAAGACTAACACATCATGGTGAATTATTCAAAATAACACAAACAATTCCAAAAAGACAACTCAATAATCAACCATGAAAATTAATCAAACATCGTCAAGTTATAGGGTTCGACATCCCCGGAACTAGAAATAAAAACTACTCTAACATAATAATAAAAATAAATAATAGAAGAGAAAAGAGAGAGAATAAAATTCTCCCTCATGTATGGGTGCGGCTTCCCTCCGCGGTTGATCGGGTGCCTCGCGTGATCTGCCCGCTTTCTCTCCTCTGTTCTCTGTTTTCTGTTCTGTGCGTATCCTTACGTCAATATGATAGGGGCTCTCCAAAATAAATAAAGTCGTCCTCCCAAATTATATGGTGGCTGCGTGAATAATATCTCCCAAGCTTGATGCGTACGTCTCTTTTAAAAAATAAATCCTCTATGCCCTCGTATCCTTTTAATTCATTGGCTTGCCCAAATAAATCCTCCTCTCCAAAAAGATTCTCTAGCCCATGTCAAAAAAAATATGATACAGCCCCTCAAAGTGACGTGAATTTTCCTTCAATTTTCAAGTCATGGGCCATTGCACTAACTAATAATGCTTAGTGGGCTTTTGAGTATAAATCTTGGGCCCAAGTATGCATGCTTCAATCTTCTCTCGACATCTACAAAAATACTTCAATATCCTAAAAATAAACCATAAAAATATCAAAGCACCGAATCCATCTAATAAATAAATAAGTTGAAAAATAATAAGTGCGATAAAATTAAGCATATAAAAATACGCTAATAAATATATAGAGTAAACACTTTTTCCGACCAATCACTTATGTATTTGTATTAGCACCTTTAGTTATGTAGAGTTAGTATAAATAGACCTTTGGTCTTCATTTGTGCAATTATCGATTCATTCTGTAATGCTAATACCAGAATATACAAATTCTCCTTTTCTTCTTTCTATCAAGTCTTCTCTTCTGTATTCATCTATAGATCTATAAATCTGATATAACCGTTGACATCCACTAGGACAGTGATGAGCTAGAGTCGCCAAGTAGTCGGCTGCAAAATTAGCTTCTCTATAACAATGAATCACATTAGCCTCTCAGTCCCGATTAAGCAAGTCTCGAATGGCACGAACCAAGCTGCCATCACTCGAAGATTTTCCGTGAAGCCCCCTTCCGCCATTGTCACCACACTCTTATTGTCTACTTCCACGATAACCTTGCTGCACCCCAAGTCCCAGGCTACCAATAATCCTTGAAAGAGCCCTCATAACTCTGCTCCTGTAATAGAACAATACTCAATATTCATCACAAACCCCCCAAGCCAACGACCCTCGGCATCATGAACCAAATCCCTAGCGGACACCATCCCAGACGAAGCCAAAAAAGATCCATCCTTGTTAATTTTGACAACTTCACTTCCAGGAGCTTCCCATCGAATAAACTCTACTTCATGTCCCACTTCGAGGCCGCCAGGTGTTTTTTAGTAGAGGTGGCTATTTTGATTCCATGAACAAATGAGCGAACATCCCGGACTTTCTTAGCGATATTGAACTCCTCGCCTGAAAAAATCTTTTCATTTCTTCCCCTCTAGATTTGTCACACCGTGACTCCAAAAACAGTTTCCCAATCAACAACTCCAATATTCAAACCATTTTGCAGGTTCTGGAGCAACCAATCCTGCAATGGCAGGGTAAAAAACTCGGAGTATCGATTAGCAGAGATCAAGCGCCAGCCCCTACACAATCTCGAAGACAGTGGAGAGTCGATTCCTCGTATCGCCCACATAGTGTACAAGTCGATGAGCCTGTGAGGTGCCTCATCCGTCTCTCAACATTGGTTAGCAGCTTTTCTTGCGCAACGAGCCAAAGAAATTGGCGTACCCTTTGCGGACCAACCCATTTCTAAATAATTCGCCATGAGTTTCGGTCACTCGCACTCGTCGGACGTGCACGAAACAACGACGAGTAGGCCGATTTTGTCGTAAAACACCCATTCTCCGAGAACCCCTAGTACATAGTGTCAGGCCCGACCTCTCGTGTTGGCGGCAAGAAGGCTGCCATGCGCAACGATATGCCGGCCGGCACCAAATGGCCAAAAAGATCCCACCTCCATCGGCCCGATGCATCCACATAGATACTAACAAGCCAGTCAAGCTCATGTTTTAGAGAACGACTTAACGCCTCATAGATGAGAGGGAGAGGGCTATGTGTCCAGTTATCTCGCCAAAAACGAACAATTGTTCCATCACCGATGGACCATCACACCCTGCTTCGCACGAACGGTCATACCTTGTTTATTGCTCAGAGAATAGCGGACCCTCTTTGGAACACAAAATCCACATCCATCAAGCAGGCACCAGCTTATATTTGGCAAGAAGTAGTCGTACCTTTATTAATTATTTTGTTAGTAATTATATTTATAGATTATGTGAGTAGATCGATGAATAGTAAATTAAAGTTGATATAATGTATAAAAATAATTAATTGATATTATTTAATTATATTGATAATATTGAAAATAGTGGAGTTGACTTAAAGTTTGATTAGATTTGATTAAAAAAATAATTTTGTTAAAAATAATTGATTTTTTTTGGGTTAACTAGTCAATTACAAGAACTTTGGTGAAAGAAAATGAGATAAAGTATGGTTCACAAAATTTGTATGCATTATTTTATTATTATATTAAATCCATACATATAATATAATTTTTCCTTTTTACTATGAAAAGCCCAAAGTAAATCAGTTACAAGTGTAGCTTAATAGTTAGTCAAAATTGACTCGGTATTTTAGTCGACCCCTTGGCGTAAACATTCCGAAATGCCTCTCCTCCTTGTTCCCCGGCTTCAAGTTCTCGTCAAACATCGCAAATATATACGTCTCTATCGGCCTGTCGGGCCTCATCGGCGTCCCACACTTGACGACCCGTATCAAGTTGTTCACGTAAGCTCTCGCGTTCCTCCTGTTCGCCACGTCATCATCTTCCGGCGTGATGCACCCCGGCGGCTTATTTTTCCTCGAGCTCGACCACCCGCTCTCACTACTCTTCACCTCCAACGTCATCCTAATTTCGCCAGTCGCCGCCTCCGGCGACGACACGGCCAAGCTCTTCTCGACTGCCGCAATCACTGAATCGATCATCGCGTAAAAGAGATTCTGGTAAAGAATGCCGCCGGGGACAACGATCCCCGGGAATCCCGGGTCGAGTAGCGCGTACCGAATGTCAATGTTCGCTCGGTTTTCGATGTACGCAAAGTAAGGGTACACGCTCGCGAAAAGCGGGGCCCGTGTGTCGGAGAGGAACCGAACGATCGGGTCGATGAACGGGCGCACGTCGGCTCGGAACTCGCCGGCCGCCGGCGGGTAGGTATTCTCGAGAATGTTCATGTTGATGGCGGTGGTGACGTTGATCGACGAGTCGGAAACGGCGCTGTATATGTTTTGCATGGCCGGGAGTACGAACCGAGCGAACCGCGCGGTTTGTGGGTCCGTCGGGCTAACCTCGTTGCCGACCACGATGTGGGTGAAGCATATGTCGGGCGAGTAGGGTCGTATGTTGGTGTCGACCCACTTGTCGGCGCACGATTGGGAGGTGGCGAGGCACTCGAGGTCGTTGTGGAGGACGCCGACGGTGAGCTCGATTCCGGAGCCTCGGAGGGCGTCGAGGGTTTCGGGGTCAGTGTCGTAAATGCGCATGCGACGGATGTTGTACCATTGGAATAACTGAACGACCTGCCACGGAGGAAGCAGGTTGTTCGCTATACGACCGTAGTTGACCCCGATTTGACCGACTGCATGCATGTTGCAGATATATTGTTGGTTTTATACAAGTAAAAGGATATATATATATATTATCAACTTTGTATCATAATTAAATGAAAAACAAATTGAATGACCTGTGAGATGGAGATATAAAGTTATGAGAAGCAGCCCAAGAGTGAGAGTTGTAGCCATGGAAGCAAAGTTAAATTATTAACCACGGAATTTAAAAGCACTTAATTGATGTATTTAGATTTTAGATACTCTTATTAAGCTATGGGTGCTGAGCTTTTTATAGTGGTAGTGACACATATTGCACGTATTATATATATTAAATTTTTAAGGTTTTAATCCAACTTGAATCTCAATTTCCTCTAGTCAAATTCAAATCAAGTATTGATATATACATATATTTTAATGGTATATTTTGTCAGATAATTTTGTATATTTATTGTCATATATAAAAATGGCCAATATTAAAAAGCCAAATGAATGATTCAAATTAT